GGCCACTTGCTTACTCGTGTTTCATATGAATAAGCTCCGATTCTGTCTTAGCGCACAACCATTCTGAGCACTCGGATCACTGATTTAGCCCCCATCCTGCACGTTCCCTAACGATAAATGTTGACGATGTGGACGCAATGCATGTAGTGCAGATATTGCGTTTGAACTGCTCCGAGACGGACTTTTATTGCCAGTTGCATACGTTGCAAAATCGCACTCAGGCAGCATAGCAGGTCATTTTGGTCACTTTCTTCCTTGTTCACACAAGCTGTCGTGAGTGCAGCATGTCTGACGTATAAACATGACTGATAGCTCGCTCGAAAACCGGCCGGGAGAGAGGAGGGGAGGGAGTTGAATGAACCGTGCTAAAGCGCAGTTCTCACCTAAGCTTCTAGGCATGATAAATGGAGACATGGTCAGCAGGCCTTGTGTTACACTTTGGTTTCACCATGTAGCGTGTGAAGACCGAGATACTATTCATGTTGGCCCTGCTGTTGTTTGCCTGACGTAGCTTGAAAGCAATCCCCTCTCCCTACGTTCGTCGACACACTTTTCCTCCCTCTTCCTCTCTTCATCGAGCTTTCTCGCTTTATAATCTCTCGCTACCACATGATCCAAAGTCATTGTCAGGACCAGCCTAGCGCAGCATCGTACAAGACCTTTTACGACCTGCCCGTCGAGGTCGTAATAAAGGTTTTCCATCTCTGCCCCGACATTAAAACCTCTCTCAGCATTGCCATGCTCTCTCGCCACTTTCACCATATTGTGCTCAGCGATATCTCCGCACGGTATGCCATAGAGCTACACAAGACTGGAATGCGTAGCATCGACAAATGTGCTTGGAACCTTCGTCAGCGCTTCGAGGCTTTGCAGGCGTACCGCTCCGCGCTAAAGTCATCTTCGCGGTATTCGCAATGCGGTGCGGTCATACAATCCTATACTGGAGCGAGGTTTGCTGTTTTCACCCACCAAGGTTTCTTGTTAATCATCACGGGTGACAAAGCAAGCCCGATTCGCGTTTGGCGCCTGCCGAGCCCCATCAGGGGAATATCGCTCCATGAATTTCCCTCGCGTAACCTTCCGCGTGCTCTTGTGAACTTCCGTGCTCAAGTACAGAACTCCTCGGTAGTAGGCGCGCTACTCAGTCCAGGGAGCGATGTAACGATATACGTGGTTCGTGCGAGGAGTTATCTGGGAGAGGGAGAGTGCGTGTCTCGATTTCGTCGTGTATGATCTCTTTTGTCGTTCTCATTGGCAAGCCAGCGATGAATGGTGTCAGTTTGCGCTCTTCCCAACGAGTCTCTCCTCGGGTAACCCGGTACCTGGCCTATGTTCTTGCTTGCTCATGGGCATCAAGTCAAGGTTCCGTGTTGAGCCTCTCGACTCTGCACTGAAGTCGTTCTGTACATTTGGCCCATACGTTATGTATGGCGGAAGTCACGCAGACACGGACAAGAAACCGCCGACATCATCCGAGTTCTGTGCGCTTGTGGTCAATCTGCAAACGGCGTCGAGATTTCTTGCTCTGCTGGTGAGAGATTTACTCCGCGGTGCAGTGAGCTGACCAATTGCTCATTCGCGTCCCAGCTGAAAGGGGTGCTGTGTATCACATTCATGAGCGACAACCTGGTGTTATGCATGCATGCAGTCATCCCGCCGTTTTCCGATCGCAAGTCAATTGCCTTGGTCATCTCGGTGTTTGACTTGGGACTGATATTTGTCCCCAATCTCGGCGACCGGTACATCATCGTCGACCTCGAGAGAGAACAAGCTCCTATTGGCCGTGTGGCCTGCCTCGGTCTTCCTGGTAGATACAATCTCGACGACGTCATGTTTCGTAATTTCCACATCAAAGTCGGGATGCAGGTTGGTCTGCCTTTTCAGAAAGGCGGTCTCGTGGAGGAGAAGGGTGCTTTCACATATGATGACAGCGCCATATTCTGCACCGGGCCTTTCATTGACAGTGTTGAGTTGGACCCGCACCAATGCTTAGGGTTCATCTTTACATTCCAAACCGTACGGAAGGCTTTATCCTATGTGCAACATCCTCACAGACCCGTTCCCTCGGCTGTGTGGGCTGGAGAGAGTCTGAGGCCCAGATCCGTTTGTGGGCCACTGGCTGGAGGGGTTCCAGATAAGGACATACATGGGCCTTTCCACGGGCTACTTGATACTCACCCTGCGCGTATCGCCGTTGCACTATGCGAGTCACCAAAATCGGATGCTGAAGACGAGGATTTTTCCAGTACTACGAGAGAAGGCGGGAATGTACGTTCAGCGCGGCGCATTGCAAGGCGTGCGAGCTTCCAAACTAACCTGCAACGCCTCAATTTTCAGAGCCCGCGTTTCGGTTGTGAAACTGTTCGCCACATCGATCGATTGCCTCGCCATATGAGCCACCTAAAGGGCCAGTTTTCGGCAGATGCTTTTGTAGAAATCAAGGTGGGGTGTCTTGTCCTTATGAAGACGGTGGCTCACAGGTATCCTGCAGTCCTCGCAAATGCCTAACGGGAACCTTCATACAAACTCTGTGTTGATTCGATCACTGGTATCAGTGGTCTGAGAGGCGGAATTTGTTTATCTACTGTCGCCGAGCTTAAGATCTGATGACGCCAATTATGCACTTTCAGAGCGAGCGTAGACAACGGAGGCTCGTCAAACCAAAGACGGCGCTCTTAGTAGCCACGATATCTGTAGTCACACCAAGATGCGGGAATGATAATGATGACATGTGTGTATATGCGAGGAAAGTATCGTATCTGGTGTCTTTTACCAAGCATGATGCACGTCCAGCGGCCAAGTATTACCAGATGGCTGAACACGTGAACGGTTGGGTAGCATTCGAGGCTGGGAACTGCCTACAGGCGCAAATGTCTACGAGCGTATATCACAGTCATGAAGATCATCTCGGTGGCTGCAATTGACATGATTCCAACAAGCTTACTAGGTGCCCCACTCAGCGTTCTTTATATCCTAGAAAAGACGAGCATTACGCTTTGGCGGGTCCTGTGAGCAATGTCTGTTCAAGAAACAAGTCTCAAAGTCACTAGCGTCAGACAAAGAGCGCAACAAATGGGACCAGCTGTCGCATAGCTGTGGTCAGGTTCCTTGTAACTTCCGAGATGTCAGTGTTTTAGTCTGGAATGAAAGGTTTCGTTGATGTCTACGTGAAGCGGCACTACAGATACTCGGAACTATTTAAATAGCGCTCTAATGATCCTGACCAGGCCTACAACCTTTAGCGCTCTCTATTCACAGTTTCAGCATATATGACGTTGGAGCGCGCTTCCCAGAATCCTGTGCAGCAATCCGTCGCCATATAACGGAATATCGCCGCATTTGTGATGGGTAAAAACCGTTCAAGTAGTAGTAGTAGTAGTAGTAGTAGTAGTAGTAGTTGTAGACCACCATCGGACCCTCAGTCGGTCCCGGCTGGATCCCGGCTAGCCCCTGTTCCCAGGCGCGACACACCCGGCGACGTGAGCTATCAGCAATGGATGACGACGGCTGGAGTAGATGGTTACTCTGTGATATGTGGCGTATTGTTCCCTGGTTCACAATTTATGTCATGATACAACCGCCGTTTTGCGCAAAACGGGTGCGTTTACAGGAATAGGCTTGACTACATGGTTTGACCAGTTTCGTCACCACATGGCGCATGATTACGGTGGAGACCATAGTCACTTTCCCCTGACTCGCGATTTGGTGTCGACCGACACACGTGCCACATGCAGCGGCAGTTTGGTCACACGATGCGGCTGTCATCTGGCTGCGCGCACCACGCACACATCATAAGATTCACCGAGTGATAAACACAAAAATTCTGTAGGCTAACCAAGTTGAGCGTGCGTCCAAGGTCGAACACGGCTACTCCTCTCACCATGACATCCCCTCTCTGGGTTTATGGTCAAGCAAGTAACAAAGTCGGCAATTTTTTGGGACTCCCCGTCTTCCTGGAGTCAATGATGATGGTGCTCTCGGGCGCATTGCCTTGACTCTCCCACCTGTCCGACGCTTCCACGAGGCTGCATTCCAGACAGAGCCCATTCCGATCGATGGAGGATGAACGGATGACGACGAGGTGGCGTGGACAGGGCAGATTTGTGAGAATGTTCAAAGCATCTCGCTCTCCGTGCAGTCTCAACGTATCCAAGCGCTTCACGTGCTGCAGCTGGCCCCAATCAAAGTCCCCGTCGTGAGAGTAGCGGCTTCCCATGCCGTGTATGGTAAGGTAGCGTAATTCGCGCTCGGATAGATCGAGGAATGCCTTCTCGACAGGGCGTGTGACGGTAACAACCCCGGGCGCAAGCCGCACGTTGCAATCGTAAGGGTATGGAAGTCTCGACCGTGTCCGCACGCTGTCTGGGTCCACATGATGGTGGTCGTTGCAATGGCTGTCATCGGCATAGGAGCAAGTGAAGTGGAGCAACGTGTGCTCTATGTAGAGTGAACGGGTCTCGGAAAGACGCCGGAAAGCAGCGTAGGGAATGGCGGATCCATGAGTGTTAATGTCCCATGTACCAGTGGTCACGACATGAGCCAAGATGGACTCGATTGACTCGGCATCTGTGCTGGTGATTTCGATATCGGCATGCGTGTGAATGGGCTTCAGATCTATTCTGGAACCTTCGTCTGCGCCGCGTACTGAGATGTGTGAGATCCGTAGGAAGCTCAGGCAAGGGCATGAGCCGATAAAGTCTATAACATTGTCGAGATAGATAACGCTCTCATCGCAGTGTCTTGGCCTCACGTTATAGCCTTCGTAACGCGGGCGCGAGAAGCCCGGACAGGGCCTGACTTCAAGGCCAATGAAGTGAGCGCGAGTCAATGCACTCGAAGGAACGACCGGTATAGCGTCGCTGAGTTTGAAGAGGGGAAACGTCAGACTTTGCAGCTGCATGAGACCGAGATAGTCTCCGATCCGTTGATACAGACTCGCGAAGGGGCTGTCTTGGCTGTAGTCCGCGGCAGTGATGATCTTCTCGTTTACGCATAGGGTGATCTTGATCTCGCGGGCCCTGCCCAGGATCGACGGTTGCTGAAATAACCACTCTATGAACGGTGTCACGTCGCGCAGACGCGAGGCTCGGATGGTCTGATCGAAATCCAGCGTGAGACTGGCGCCTTTAGATAAGGAAACCAGCCACCCTGTCGCCTTCTTGTTCGGAAAACAGATGGTAAATCGAGCAAAGAGCCTTGGCAGATTGAATACTCGGCTTCTCAGCTGGCGACACACGTGCCCGATCTTGATAAAGCCAAGGGTCATCGCAGTATACTGGGGGTTTGAAGGCCGCACGCGGTGACAACCAGGAGGGTCCACGCTCGCTGACTCCTCAATGACCATGTCCCAGATCTCGCCAGGAAGTATCTGCTGTCATATGCTTGTCAGCACAGGCGTTTCCGTACTCTGTATCATCTCACAAGAATGTCCTTGCTGCGCCCAGAATAATGGTTGCCTCCGAGCGACATCATGCGCGGTTCGTGGCTGGATAGCATAGCCGAAGCGTGTCTGTATAAGTCTGCCTTTTGTAAGTCATGATATACATATCTGCAATGCAAGATGACATCATATACTTATCAATTCACGTCTAGGAGACCACCTGATAGTGTCCGATGACAGGACATCATTGTGCTAATCAAGTCAGAGCTATGTATTGTATTGGAGAAAAGGGCATCGGGCGCCGCGCTTTCTGATGACAGCATCGTCTTCTTGTGAGCTGAGCTTATAGATACTGACGCCATCTGCGCATGTGTACAGATACGCAAGAGACAGACACAATGAGTTTTGAAACGACCGCAGTCTTTTGGCCTCAGTGGAACGCGCACATGGAGCCGTTGTGCATGGGTCACTTACAAACGCGCTGTATATCGACGTCAAACGTTACGCCAGAGCTGATCCAGGCGCACACAAGAGATGGTATGGTTGATTAACTACGACGTTCACACTCTCCTTTCCCAAGGTTGATAAGCTGACTGGCAAAGAAACAGAACTGGATTATCCACGATCGTCTGCCACAACGCGTAGTCTGATCGCGTTTCGCTGTTCTGCTTGTCTCATTTAATTAATGCACCGCGACGATTAACATGCCGAAGAGACATGATACTCGTCGCCATTGGCAAAGAAGCGGGCGCGGCGCGGCGACAGGCGGCGACTCGACGCTCGTTTTGCGTGTTCTCACACGTGTGCGCAGCATGTCGTAAGCGGCTACAGGTCAGGCCAGATGATTCACAAACCGTAATGACAATATACACCACAATCAGGATTTCTGTATAGAAGCTCCCGTTGGAAAGGTGTGATCAGGGTGAACACTGTGCAGTGCCTTTGGGAATAGGTCATGAGAGTCGCGCACTGCCTTCGTAGCGCTCAGACCATATGATATGCGCTTCCGGAAACTCAGAACCGGGTAACACAAAATCAGAACGTCACAGCATAAGCCGTCGGGGCGAGTGGGATTGTTCTTGTCATCGCCTAAGGTACTATATAAGTGTAGCCATTGAACTCGCCAGTATTGGCCTTCCGGGCTCCCACTGAGTCCGAGACTTTGCTTGTGCAGAGCGCTATCTGTGTGATGTCGTGAGTCACCACAATTCAGGATTATATAAAGACTCATCGCTTACTGAAACTGTACACGCCCCCAGCTACACTTACGACACCCGGACTTCACTGCTGCAGTTCTGCATGCAATATCGATATTGTTCATTGACAGGATCCCAGTTTCCTCATGCTCCGTGGTATCAAACACTATACAACCAGTCTACTCAAAGCGAGCATTTGCGCCAAGCACAGCGCGATGGTGATATCAAAGAGATACAGGCCGCAATTGCCGTGGAGTGGGACTTCGTTGTGATACTTGTGAGTGGTCCTGTTATTCGTGTTCGCAATTTTCAAGCCGAGGCTGACGTTGATGATGGCGTAAAGTTGCCGATCTTACTTACGTGGGTCTCCCTCCCCGAACGAGTTTCCTTTGCTATGAGTTTGAGTTGTGAAGCTTACGACGGCATCATTGAAGGGACCCCCAACAATTAGCCTCGCAACTGCCCTGCGACATCGACATAACGCACAACGAGGAATCGATGTCGCGATGCTTCTCGATGACTGTTTGCTGGTTTCTAGGCAGCTTAGTATCATCCATATTTCTCTCAAACTTCTATCTGCCAAGCAGTACGAGTCCGTCAGAACTTGCGGTGCGTGTCTAAATTCCCCGACCTAACGGGTCCTCGCGTTCATCTTGATCTTATATACTGTCGTGACAGACAAAAATTCACATTGACGCAGAGAAGACATACATGCCTTTTGCTATTCGAGCGCGGATTCTGTACTTGATGTCTTCCCTATTGATGGTAGCGTTCGGTCTTTGGGTGTTTTTAATTGCGTATGGGTTTTGGCCTGATGTAACCTTGGCGTTGGGGATATATGGTGCCGCTCTTGTGGTGTGTGGTACGATATTGCAAGGCTGAGGGTGTTAGGATGTCATAGGGGTCCTTGAGCGTATATCATATTGATATGTGAACCTTGATGTCGCTCGCTCTGTGATGTGGATTTGATCACTGTAATCAATGATATGCAGACGCCTTAGGATGCCCATACCTTCAGTGCCTCCCCATGCATCCTTCACTTTGCCTCTGAGTGGCATTTCAGCCACATAACATCGGATAATGCTCGATGGAGAAGCGGCAGCTAATATAGACGTCCGGTCATGTAACATATGCATACGACGAAGAGTGGTGGCGGCGTTGGTACCAGTGATTGCAAAGCAACGTATTCACAGCGCAAACATTGATGATAGTGTTTTGCGATCTGATCCATTGAGCGAACCACCCTGGCTATTTGGCTACCCCGACCTTGGACCATCACAGAGAAGTGACTGAGTGTGCCGAATCGTGCATAGACCGTCATAGATTCCGTAGAAATATGTCTTGAAGCCAGAAACAAAGGATGACTGTGATCGTTGTCGCAATGCATGCTCCTGGCCAATGAATGACAGCAGTGGAAGCGCTTTCTGCCTGCGGCATTGCAACGCACTACCGCCACTGGCATGTTAGACGGCCGTCGGACAAGGAAGTAAGAATGACGACGACGTTATGTATCGACAAGGCTTCACAACTTTCACACTAGTGCGATGAGCCTCCTTCGTTCATGACATCGAGTACGGAAGGCACGTAAAGAGAATGATAGAGTGCCGAGGATTGATGAAGGTAAGCCAAAGACGTTTCTGACGGGTTCTCATCCACTCTTCAATTCATGGGAGTCTGAATCTTAGCCGCGCACACCTCAAGCACCTCATAGTCTTCTGACGGTCCTCTGACGGTCCTCTGATTTTGTTCCCATACCTCCAGTACTCAGTCACAATGCAATTCGGGGCTTTCCGAGCGCGGGCAACCGCACGGTGCCAACGAGCTCGCGATGGCACTAACCTAGAGGTCACACATCGATAGGGTCTATTTCTTGGAAAAACAATGAGCAGATAAACCAATAGGTGCTCACCTTGAAGACCTGGTATGTTGCAGCGAACGTCACAGTTGAGTATTTTGAGCGAACACGGACAAGATAAGGATGGTCCACATTCCAATGATAGGACTGCGCTGGCCCCTCATTATCAGTCAGTCCCTCACACTGCGCGCATACAAAGTCTGCGTGACCTGATACAGGGAGCGAGATCTACTGCAAAAAGTATAAGAGCCCATACCGCTCTCAAATGTTTGTGCGTGAACACTTTCTAGCGCAATGGAGCTCACAGGGACCGTGACCATTCGCGAACGTCTCTACGCGAGAAACGCGCAGACGCCAATTGGGCGCCTTCCTATCGAGGTCCTCCTGCAGATTTTTGAGATAACACAGGCCCATTGGGATCCCACCCGCATCTATCCATCAAAAATGTTCATACCTGGCACTCACTCGGTGTTTAGCTCGGGATGGGTATGCCTGATCCATGTGTGTAGCTTCTGGAGAGCTGTGGGTTGTCATACTGGATCATGATGTCATCGACATCGACGCTCACCCATCTTCATAGATCATCGTTAACTCTCCTTCACTCTGGGCTAGTCCTCCCATATCCGCGGCATCATTCCCCTCTCGCTACATCCCTGACGTCCTGCATCGTTGCCGGAGAAGGTCGATCCATCTGCAGCTCGTTCCCAGCCAAGATCCAAACCTTGGGGCGGATATGGAGGATCCTGCGCTGGATGCCAACGTTCGCGCCTGGTTCTCTGCCAAAGTCCTCGATCAAGTTGGTCACCTAACACTGACCGCAAATGCAAAGATAGTCGACTTTGTCGGATCTCGAATCGCAAAAGAAACAGTGTCGGGCGGCCTGTGTCATCTGCACACACTTCATGTGGTCTTTCCCGACGATGACCCGTGCTTGATTCCTAAAAGTCTCTGGGGTCTTGAGAACATCAGAGATCTCAAGTTGGAAGGTTGCCTTGGAGTGCCTCTATCGTCATCTCTCTTTTCCAAGAATCTCGAGAGGCTTTCAATCACGTTTGTTGAGGAGCAGCAGCCGTATTCGTATGAATCCATGCAACGCTGGATCCTGCTCATGCCAAACCTTGAGACACTGGAGCTTTATAATTTTCACCCGCCTGCACGCAGTGAGAACTCCGAGGCTGCCATCGTGACATTCCCTCTATCATTGCGGCGCCTAACTCTTGACATATATTCTTCGCGATTCACGCTCGATGGGATGGAATTCGTCAAGTCAAGTGACGTCCCCCCCTTATGCTCTCTGAGTATTGGGATTGCTGCGCCCTTCAGTCCGTCCAGGAGCGACATGTGCACAGAATACAGAGATTTACTGAGGGATGTAATTCGGCGTGTGTCCTTGATCATCGACCAGGACCCAAAACTTTATCACCTCTATCTCGATGACAAAGAGCTCATCATTTCTACGACCGACATCTACGAGACGGATTATGACAGCTTTGGAGGTCCTCCGACACGGGATGGGTCCGTGGTCAACCGTCTTGCTCTCGGCTATTGCTTGGTCAGACCACACATGCCCATTGACGCACTCTCTTGTGTCGGACTCGGGCGCTTGCAGCGAATAACCCTTTCTAGGCAAGCAATATTATCGCTTGAGATTGATCAGCAATGGTCATCTCTATTGCTCGCGAAGAATGTTCGTCGTCTAGACGTACCGGGAGCACCGCATCGCATGACTCACGATCACAGAGCTATCCTTCTGAACGCACTGCGCGTGCGCCATGGCTCGGAGGCTCTTTTTCCGAGTCTTAAGACGCTAGCAATAGACCTAAAGCCTTATCATGACCCAAACGAGCTCAAAGGTTTACTGGATCAGCTCATCTGTACGAGGTTCGCCATGAGCGCGCCGATAGAAGAGGTGTTATTCCACGCGACCGGTCAGCCATCGCTCACTGCACAACCATCCAACTCACACGGGAGGCACGAGCCGAGGCTGGTGTAAAGAAAGTCGGTAACTTGCGCGTAAGACAACTTTTACAAAGTCTGCGGCGGGCGCTCTTTGAGGTGACGCGTGAACTAGCGTAAGGACGATGATCTGCGTGGGGTTAGGGTCGGGCGTCCTGTCGTTCTCCCTTACGAAGGGTGCTTAATTGCATGAGAATTCTTTTTGTCATTACAGCGTCGCCCCGAAGGCGCCGACATCCTATTCACAGTCCCCCGGGCCCAGAGCCCTACGCGTGACTGTACGAATTACATTGTATCTACGTTCGTGCATGTCATGGAATGAGAATGGAATGTACTTGGTCGTGTCGCTCGCGCCGCGTGCGGTCTTGAAGCGAATGCGGAGTTGTGTCGCGAGTGGTCGGTGTAGACGTAGATCTTTCGTGTTTGCTAGGCGGCTCGAGTCGTGGCATCCCGCTCACGCAGAGTCTCGTTCTCCTCCCCTGGGCAACCTCTCGAACCACTTCAGGAGCCCCTCGATCGGTCTGCTCCTTCCTCCTCGTCCTCGTCCTCTCCCTCTTCCTTCCTTTCCCCGTCCTCGAAACTGCCCTGTTGAGTGCCATCCTCCTCCCGGCGACTCCACCGCATACGTCCGGTTTCCCGTACATAGCTCATGAGGGTCTTCACGTCCGTCGCGTCGCTGAGCAGATAAGCTTGGTTTCGCCAATTTTTGCCCGCAGCCTTGCGGAGTGCGCGTCGCTCGGTCAGCCGCGCCTGGCACTCGTAGATGAAGTGCGGGACAGTCTCGTCTGCCTCTCCGCATGCGTCGCAGGTCGGCGACTCGACGCAGTGCATACGATGTAGGTGCTTATTCAACGGAGCGTGACCCGGTCGCAGTTGAGATAGTACGGCGCTGTCCCGGCGCGACAGGCTCTCGATCGTCTTCATATGGTGCTTCGTTGCCGCGTCAGGGGCCCAGTGTTTGTGCCGTTGGTAGCGTGGTGAGCACATCCAGTCCCGTTTCCAGCGCTCGTTGAGTTGACGTGTGTACTCCTGGCGTGTGGCTGAGAGGCTGACGCGGAGAGGGAGGCGCAAAAACGCGGGCAAGTCGTCTGTGGGACTTGAGTGACCTTCAGCGGCGAGCTTCGCCTGACCGTCCACGAACTCGTTGAGTTCTGCATCGTCGTGGCCCGAGATCCAGTGCATCTCGAGCGAGTACTCTGTGCCACGAATTCGCCACAGGTGGTCAGTGAGCGTTCGGAATTGGTCGAGTAGGTAGTGTCCCGGCTGCGCTCGCTGGATGTGCTCTGCGGCGCGAATGACGGACTGGTTATCGAGGCTGATGCTGGAGTCTCGTGAGGCAAATTCGGGGTCCTCTGTTAACAGGAGGTGTGCTCCGAGGATGATGCCGACTGCTTCAGCTTCATGCACTGTGTGTTCTGATAGGGGTCCGAGGTGGTATCGCAGCACTCGGCGATGTTCGTGGATTCCATCCGTTCGCACCAAAACAGCAGCGGCTCCCGCCTGATCCTTGTAACCCGACCCGTCGGTGTAGACCCGAATGACCGCGTCCATCTCAGCATCTTCCCTGTGTGACTCCTCGCGCGTTTCGGCGATATGCGTCGTGAATGCGGGGTCTGCGTTTGCGGGGTCATATCGCATCTGCACGAGAATTGCTACAGTATCATATTGGTATGCTTCCTATAAGCTATTATGCGTGCCTTGATTGTGTCTATGATGATTGGATCTCTGAAAAAGTCCTGAAGAGTCGTATGCATACTGTACGGACCGAACTTGTTTAGCAACAACCAGGCGGCGACCTTCACACTCGTCAGCCTTGTCTACGAGGTACAAACCACGTCATCTCAATGCGCTCTGTATACAATCTCTGGGTATATGGACTACTCTCTTGGCTTAGCTTCTGTATATGACTACCGCAAGAGCCGAGGTAGACACCCGTGGCTCTGATGGAGAGTGGTAATGTCGCGTTCTCTGCCAGATCGATCTTCGGGTTCTTGCATGCGAGGACACTTACGGTTCATGATTGTAGGTTGTGGCTCATGACCGCATATTAAAGAAAGACTGCTGATACTGTGCATGGTATTTGACAAACATGAGACCATGATGTTCATCATTTTTATGAAGATACGTGAGGCTCACACTTATCCGAACTTGAGATGACTGCACAGCACAGATTTGTCGCATAGAAAGACACTGAGGGAATTGAGCTTCTCCAAATAGTGTGCCATTTAGCTCTGACCTTCCAGCGTGCTTGTTGCCTACAACACTCAACAGCGTTCAAGTCAGTATGGTCTCGGCTATGGCCGGGGACCCCTATCACGCGTCGACGACCTGGCCCTCCCGTTCTCCTACCAGCCATCCCTCCATATCTAACGTATCTATACTCACTCAGTGTGTCTACCGCTCTCTGTTCTTCGTCTTATCCTCGCCAGGTCTCAGCACCGCGCACCGGCACCTCTCTATCGGCACTGCAGCACCGTGTCTCGCGGACTGTTTTCACGGCTGGCCGTACGCGCATTGAGCCCGCCACTACCGTGTGAGGCCGTGTGTTGAGGATGAAGGTTGAGAAATTTGACAACACAAGTGAATCTCCCCTTACTCATACAACGGTCACTCAGATCACTGTACCTGTGCTCTGGGCTCTCTCTCATAACGCTGTCCCTCTCATTCCCACTTTGTCCGACGCTTCATCAGTGCAAGAAGTCTCGTCATCGGTGTATCCTGCACCGATATTGCTCCTGTAGCAGCTTACTCAGTGTCTTGTAGAGTCCGTAAGCACTTCGCCGCGGGGACAGAACACAAGACATTATCCAACGACAGCGGGCTTAAAGCATCATCAGATTGTCCCCCACCTTTCTCCCTTCGGGAAAGTGTGACACACTCTCCTTCGCAGACATCCCACGTGCTTTTCTTACACACCTCCTTGAGTGTACCGCTCGAAGCAGCCTTTGGCGCAGGAGAGCTATTTTAGCTTTTCAAACATTATCACTTTGAAATACAAATCTATCAAGCTTCCCAACGTCTGTGAGAGTTAAAAATCGGTCATTGTCGAGCCATGAAGACATCTCCCGATAGGTACTGACAAGTAAAGCAGTATCACATGATGGCCACCGTTGCGCGGCTTTCCGGTTCCCAGTGTTGACCCACTTGCCCATCAGGTTTGGCTTGGCGTCCAGACTCTGCAAGAAGAACTGCGGCCCGTTGGTTACTGCCACATACACCTCTCAGGATAGGTATTGAGCATGCTCAGCCCCTCCAACTGCAAGCTCTGACACTGTTATTCTGACGTCGGGTATCTTGAAACAATAGGGAGAGCAGCTGTTGCCATCTGTAAGTGATAGATCAGGCAGAAGCATCCATGATTGCAGTGATATACATATATACAGCAAGAGACTGGAATACAAGACAAACTAATGTCGGCGCTCACACATCTAGCCCGACTTGACATTCCGAACACATCCATTAGATGTTCGGAAAGAACTCCGTGAAGTATTGTCCGTTGTAAGCCTTATATCTGGCCGGGGCGCTTGAACTAGACTCTCCCCTATCCGTAGCGAGCAAATCTAGAGCTTGACGTGGAAGTCCCAGAAAAGTAGTAGGTGGTCGCAGCACCTCCTGACGGCACACTGGGCAGTGGGGAGTTTTCTTGTTGGCGGACTGTCCGCTCTGCTTGAGCATGGTCTCTATGCAGGCCAGACAGTGTACGTGGCCGCAAGCGAAGCTAAAGGGATCAAATTAATCAAGACGTTTGAGTCAATGGAGCGTATGATTATCCGCACCTGGCGCCTTCCCAAATGAGATCCTTGCAGACAGGGCATTCGATGAAATGGTGAATGTCGTTGGCGGAGAGGACGAGCTGAGAGCCGTTTCCGCGCGCCTGGGCGTACTCGTAAGACAAAGCTCACTTCGCGAGGAGTTGGAGTGGCGTGCGTACATCATTCATTGCTTTGACGAGGTTGAGAGCCGCTTGCGTCCGAACCTCTTCTGCTTTGCTCCTCTGCGAACAAGATGAAAGAGTGAATCACAAGATTGAGCGAACGACGCACCTTTTCCAGCCTCTTGATAGCCTCCTCGTGCGTTTCTTCATCGTCCGAGTCGTCCGATACGACAATTATCTCGCGCGAGGGAGGGCCTGGTGTCTGCTCGCGACCATGTACCGGCCTGAAATCAGGAGGCGGTGTAGAGTCCTCCCGCGGTGGCGTGAAGTCATCAGGCGGCGGGGTTGGAGCCTGGGTCTGTTGCGCCTGGGCCTGTTGCGCCTGGGCTCGGTGATTGGAACGGGTAGTAACAGGCATGGGGTCCTCTGACTGGACTGTAGGGATGCACGATCGTGGCCAAAGAGAAGGAAGAGAATGTGTTGCCGCAGATATCCGAGGCGGCGTTCAGATGTTAGCCACGTGATAGCGTGATAGACTTCTAGCGTGGGCGCCCAGCGCGCGCCCTCGCAGCGGGATTGATTCGGCCAAGCAGGACACAGGTCCGTTCCGAAGGCCACGAGATTCGCTCCCTCGTCATTATCCACCGCGATTGACACTCAAGGCTTCGCACTGTGAACTTACGGTCATCATGTGATAGGTGGAACGCGCATGGGCGCATGGGCGCAATGAACAAGGCCGGCGTAGCGCTTCGGTAGAAGTCTTCCAGCACAGATAATTACACCGCATGAACGTCTGTGGGATGTTGTGCCCATACGAGCACCAATTGACTCTCCGCAGCAACATGGCGACGCACAAGTTTCTGTTGCTTTGCGTAGGATGGCTAAGCTCATCACAAGGTCGCTGGCCGCTCAGCTATAGTTCCTGGACGTCTCTCGGAGGGCATTCAGTCGGCACTCGTGCGATATGCTTGCTGTAAGCATGCCAACGAGAACGACAGACCCACGTGCCTGTCAGGCCTCGAACGTACTCACAAGCACCTACAAAAGCCAAAGCAGTCTTGACTGAGTCACATTGTGGGCCCACCCGCTCATCTAGTTCCGTTAGCACAAGCCGCCCAAGCGTTCCTGATGGGCGAGGCCGCCGATGTTCGTTAGGTTCACTCGTATGCCTGGTAGACCCCACGATCAGGGTGCAATACCAACTGCCCATCTGTAGATGTGGGGCCGATTATCCAACAAAGGTTCGGCTTAAGAGAGATTGCGGACCATGGTTAACCCTAACCCAAGCAACGGCATTGATGTGGCGAGGGATACAAGAGACTCAGTGAAGCTGAGGCTTGATCGATACCTTCCTTGTGTTCGAGATCTGACTGTTAGGAAGCAGTATATAGCGATTTCTTCAAGGATCCCTACAACACAAGCGCTCGCAACGAAACTCCGAATAAGGGAATGTGCGGATTGTCGTTCGCAGCGAGCAAGTAGCCAGGCCGCTCAGAGTCGCAGTTGATGGGTTCCGATAATGTCTGCTCAGCGGGACCGGCTCACTTTTCATACGTACCAGCTCCACAACACAATCATGCTATATGTACCCAAGTGCGTGCGTATGGTACAATCACACAATGTATCGCCCGCACAGTGTCAGTTGTCACGGCCGCGAGGGGACGCGGTCACGTGATACAAACGCTGGACGCGTCAAAAAAACTGTAGGACGCGCACAGCACGTCGGCACTCAAACAGCTCCTCACAGCATAAACATGAAGAGTAGAGCCAGTTCAAAGAGAGGTCCTATACCATTGACTATGTAGTCGGTGGCGTGCAACGCGTCCTTTCCCACATGAGCACCCAGCGAGTAGGACACCCGAAATGCGTACTGCACTCTCGCCTCTGTCATTTCCTGCCTGATCAGCGTTGAGTGACAGTGTAATATCTCTTCACCTACATAGCATCAGAACGCGCACACAAGTCTGTATCGCCGCCGGAATACCGCTCGCGGTACCTGCCTAGCCGATCGAAATTTCTCCCAACTCGCTGTCTTTTTCGACTGTAAATTCGTAACGAGTAACGTCGCGCGCGGTACGAACCTCGTTGACACAATTACAATGAGTGTTCTCACCTGCGTACGTCACGCGTGGATGGGCCCGGCGCTGGGGGAACTCGGCCAAGCGAAAGTCTCATGCAGATGGCCTTCGGACGGCCTTTCCGGCATACTCCCAACTGTGTCGCGAACCCTGCCGTACACGCGCGAACCAAGACAATTAGACCTCACCCAAATTGGGGACAGGTCAGCTTGAAGCAACGCCATGGGTAGTATAAAGAACGTAGAGGCGGGCCGTCTGTCGTGTTGCTGGCTATTGGCGAATGTACATGGGGCATCGCACCCCTTCTGTTCCTTTCATAGAGCGCCAGAAGCACCGAGCAGTAAGCGCGCATACACCCAAGGCTCAGGTATGACAAGCGCATAGCCATCGGTAGCTCGAATGAAGTTTGGTGGTGCGGGCAAGGAGGGCTCCGCAGGCTCTCGATCTTTCCACGTGCCCTTGGCCTTGCTCCCAATGCAACAGCGGGTAAGAATCTAAAAACCGACGATACAGCAGAGTTTTCCTTTAGTAACCAGGGGTAGGGAGAATAGATACGGTGGTTGCTTAGTGCTGGTGCGTGACCATTCACGCTGCCATATGGGGCAGGCCGCGGTTCACCTTGGGCGCGCAATGAAATTGCTGAATCCCTTGCAGAAGAGGGTGGGATGTAGATCATAGACCTCAAAACAAGATAAGTGTGCGTGACAGAGGAGCAGATCAGAAGGTAGATCCCTTATAAGACTTGGAAGGAGCCAGGTGAGTGGTGGTTAGAGGCAATAAGCGATGGCCGCGCCGAACGCAAGTCGCGGCCAGCAAACATGGTTCCCAACGCGAACATGTCTTCCGAGGGTGGGCAGCCTGCTTCACTGCTTCACTCCATGAGGACCTCGAGTGCCAGTCTGTGGCAATGACAGTGCACGGTTCACGATCCTGACGAAGGTCGGTGAGCTTACATCGTGATGTGCGCAACCGGGTCTGAGCACTAACGGCGTACCTGAGAGACGACGCGACTCAGCGAGGGACGAGAGCGCTAATCGATCAGCAACGGCGAGCCTCGGTTGCAAGAGGGCCCTTCCAACGATCCTCTTTGTAGACTTGAGGCACGCGACAGCACGAAGCCAAAAAAAACTTTGTCTATTGGCGGTCTTGGGGGAAGCGAAACCCCGCTTTGGATACATGTTTTGTCGAACCTGTTATACGTGACGAATCGGGACCAAATCGTAAGATACATCTTGAGTCAGGGATACAAAGAAGGCGCGAGAAGATCTAAGAGAGCGAGCTAAGAATGATTCCAGGAGCGGGTGATGGTGTTGAGTCGAGTGATGGCGAACTTGAGAGAGAGCGGTCGAGAGGGTTCTGTGTAGCGACACAAGGGGACGTAGGGTTACCATATGAGGCACCGTGGTGATAAGCCATGGACGGGACGGTCGCAGGTCGTGGCGGTGAAGAACAAGAGACGAACGAGCGGGTGCGCGCGGCTTGAACGCGATTGCAAGTGACCGCATTGGCCTTGCTTTAGCTAGACGCGCTCGGTGCGTAGGCACAAAAACGGCACCTTGTTCGCTAAGCGCTGTATGCTGGGATTGGTCGAAAGAAGTTGGGGTGCGCTTGATATAGGCACTGTGCAGCCCAGCGCTGAGTTGATGGGTTCGAATGCAGACCGACGCGCGCGAACTCTCTAGCTCCGAAGCGTGACGTCAGGGTGGAGTACTCGAGGAATAGTGACGACGTCCGGCGTTGTGAGACTACGAGAGTGCCCATCGTGGATAGGAATGACGGCGTGTGGATTCAGAGCAGGCAGCGAGAGAGGGAAGGGATGCACTGTGCAAATGCATTGACCAATGCTCATGGAAGAACGAGCGTATGGCACCCGGGTAGATCTGATCAACGTGTCACCTCTGGACGCATATTCTGCTCCAAACCTGTTGGCGCGCACCTAGTGAACGTGACAGAAGAGCTACACTTCCTCGCACAACGGAATTCTTCCATAGAATCTTATGTTTATCGCCTTCGGGAGTGGGAGGTCAGCGTCGCTTACGTACCGCGCCTTACAGCAGCCATTAAGCTCGGCGTGGTGGGAGTCTGGGGGACACGCACGATCGTACGTATACAGGGTAGATAGGCAGGATGCTGACTGTAGATGTGCGTCAGTCTGTGCTTCCACGGATCAATAATGTGAATACGCACAGCGACGACGGTAGGGTGTGGACAGACAGACCAGGCGACACGTGCGGTTACCAGCACAGGAACCGAGAGAAAGGATCAGTAGAGCTCTGTAGAAGTAGGGTTGGCACGCTCAGAGCGTGCGACGAGGTGAGCTACTCACTAGAAGGGGCCCCAAGCGGAGCATAGAGAAAAGGAGGCGTTTGAGCGAGACGAGAGCGACGATGATAGTGGATACTAGAGTAGGGCGACGTGCAGTAAACTAGGCGCATAGTTCATGTCAGTGCACTCCCCCAGTCATCCAGAAGCAGGCGTACTCACCAAAGACAAGATCCACAGACGGGCCGATGATCGTTGACGGCGAGCGTTGAGGGTGAATTGACGATGGCGGGTAGCTCAGGCGGGAACGCGACTGATGAGCCGCCCACGTGAAGCTTGAACTAGCACCACCATCTAGTCATCGTCCTCGTACTCATCGATGTTGCTGGCGGCGTTGTACCCGCCGCGTTTGCGCTTGCGGCCACAATGATTTGACTCGTCATCATCGACTTGACCGGCGGCTGCAGGGGCGGCGGCGTTCTCGCACTTGACTTTCTGCTGGTGTGAAGTCGACATGTACTGACGGGGCCAAATTCGCGTCGCCCAGTCATCAAACATAGGAATCAGAACTGCTGCGAACATGATCAGCCAAGCTGCAGGGCATACCAAACGACACAAACGGAACATAGTTTCCGTATCGCGAGCCGCGGTCAAATGCTGGGTTGGATCGATACGGACGGCCGCGAATAGCAAACGCATCATGTCCTGTCTTGAAGCAGAGCAGGATCCGGCCTGAGGGTGGTATTGACAGCGATGGCTGAATGAGTCATACCTGTGCGCCATCATGAGCCCTGTTTGCGCTCGCGTCGCTGGCCTATCGTGCGCCAATGTGTTTGATGCACTCTCCAATTATTCCGCCCTGTGCTCTACATTCACTGCTCCAAAGGGGGGCTGACGGAGGAGGTCATTGATCTGAAGTGCGTTGAGTGCCTGGTTGGCCGGGCCCGACGCGGTAGTGATTTGTGGGTGATCATTGACCGCAGTGCCGGTTTTCCAACTCGTTGTGCGTACATACCAGAAGAGAATTGATGTGGCCTTTGTCACAATCTCAAGAAAAATCAATAACATTGGATACAATGGACAGTTGTAAGGGGTGAGGCTATTGTCGACAAGACGTCGTATATTGGGGTACCCATCTGGCACGGATTGGCTAGCGTATGGTACGTAGCATAGTACAAGATTCATCAAGTGGAGTTCTGTCTTGCAATCAGCGCAAGATAGGGTACCAGGGCCAGTAAACGCACCGGATTCGGGTCACGCCGATTTAGCTCGGAAACAAATGTGCACGCTCGCAGAAAGTCAAGTTCAGTGGGATGGATCGGCGTAGGCGACAGCGGCTCTAGAGGGTGATATCAATAGTGGTGCACTGTGCGTGTGTATAAAGTATGGCCAGGGGTTGGGAGGAGATCTAGGCGAAAACATCAGAGCAAGACATAGCCGCCAATTCAGAAAGAAAAACATATGGCAGCTCTTTGTGTAGGTTCGTTCGAGAGAGTCCGATATAATATACTGTGCATGAGAGTGATGGGTTGGTAAAAGGGGACATGGCGGGTGGAAGAAGATGGAGACTCGTCTGTGCTCGCCGCGGTGGCGGCGAGCGCGCGTTTAGCGCCTAGCGTTAGCAACTCCACGCGCCTGCTCACATCACCCACCATGACTACCACCGTCTTTCGAAAATGGACGCTTCAACTTGTCTACCAGTTCGATACTGCTGAGCCCCGACTGGCGTCATCTGGCTTACTCCGCGGCAAATTCAACATGAATTCCTGTACTACGTCCAGTGACCTAATGTGCCATCCGCGCCAACCGTACATGTCGCCGCGAGGCCGACACGGCCCCGTCGACTCTCACAGAGTACTAGTGTTCGCGTCGATGCTCAAGATGGGCCAAGACTAGGAGCAGTCAAATGAAGTACTCTACCGCTGGGTATCATCCACAAGAAGCAGACCAGCGCTGCTTTGAACAGACATTGCACAATCCGCCCAGTATGCCCGCAAGGCCGATATCTACTTCGAGATTGGGCTCTTCACGAGTAGTAGGGTCACGTACGTGAACGTCATCTGCTGTTGCGGGATCGTAGTGCTGACGTAACCCCCAGTTTGACCGCGCTCGCGACACGTACACGCGTATTGTCTAGGATAACCCGACGCACGCTAAGGTGATGCAGCAGCTCGGCTGGCTCTACCATCAAGATGGCACTTCGTTTCAAGACCAGGAGCTCGCCCTCAGTGTCTCGCCGATTCGCCCGAGGCCGGCCCTGGCGATACGCAGAGTTGGCATCTACTTGGTGGCGCATTCACGGGTTTCTCGTCCACCCTCCCGCGCCAACGCTCGTTGTCCTATAGGCGAAATCCCCCAGCCAGAACCCAATACGCGGATCGTAGCCCGCATCCACCGCTCCGTGGCGATTAGTCACCGGCCGTGATCCTGCACAATCACCCGTCCGTAGTCGGTTTTGTGGAGATTGAGGCGCCTTTTCCGTCGTCGCTCGTGGCCTCTCGATCTTGTTACACCCTTACAAATGTTTGGGTGGACCGCCTCCGCCACATCAACACGACTTGTACACTGCGCCGAGCGAGTCTCGCGGACGCAGATCATCAGTCATAGGGTCTCTCCGAGACCGTGCGAGCTCGCTCCCAACTTCACCGTACCATTTCTACGGGCGTAGTGTTCCCCGTGCTCGGCGCACGGCTACTCACGCGAGTGTGTGCCGGTTGCACAACGTGAACGCGAACATGACCCATGAGCGTGACACCGGCTGTCAGTACCGCGCTGGGAACACCAGCTCGACATGCACGCTGGTGGTGACCACCGAGTATGCGCGGCAACCGCCGCCACACTACGAGTCGCGCCATGAATTTTCGCCGCCCAGTGGTCCCAGTCGTGACTACCTGCCGCCTCGCACTCAGATGCCGTCTATCTCCCCGCGCGAGCATCCGAGCCTGCGTGGTGAGCCGATGCAAGCGGATTACCCCCCACCGGGCGATACGAGAACGGACCACCGCTTTAGTAGTGGGACTTCGCCTGCCCCACCGTCGTCATTCTCCGAGCCGCACGTCGAAGATCTTGCACGTAGCACACCGCTTCCGCAGGGGTATCGCGAAAGAAGACGAGTCTTCTCCGGCGGAGAAGCAGCAGCCGCAACAACTTGCTAGTCCCAGCGGCGCTACGGGTGTTCTGGTGCCCGAGCTGAAGAGGTGCACGCGCGCTACGACGGATCGCAGTAGAGATGATGGGCCCACGTCCGCATCTACACCTGGCTCAGACCCTGAGTTGCGTCCGCTGATAGGGCTGCTCAAGCCCTACCAGCAGCAGCAGTTGTGCCGAACTGCGTCGTCGACGACGGAGACTCCGACGAGGGTGTTACTGAGATGCTCGCCGGTCTGTCGAACCTCTGCGGTAGTGCTGCTCCGGCTTCGCAGATGTCGGACGACGCGCCGCCGAGCTGCAGCCAGGTGCCGTCTCCGCCGATGAGCAGTTCTGGTGTACGCAGTATGCACCCCCAGCGCGACACCGAGTCTCTTACGGCCGTGTCAGTCCTCTGCGGTCGCCACATTGTTACTCGCAACCGCCGGCTCCGGTTTCGCAACGGGAACACGGTCGCGAGCGTGACGTAGACTCGTAGGGACGTGAGTTGGAGCACCGGAGCGGACTACACGCAGGTGTTGGTCCTGAGTATGCGCCACGACAACCGCCGTACTCCGATTCGCGCCATCAGCTTTTGGCACCCTGCGCCTAAATGCCGCCCATTCCCCCGCGCGAACATCTAAGCATAAATGGTCAGCCGATGCAGCCGGGATATCCCTCAAAGGCGCTACGCGATCAGGCCTCTGCGTCCGGGACAGGCTTGCCGTGGGTGTCTGTCACTTGGGGTTCCGAGCCACACGTCGGAGAGTTCACACGTAGCGCACTGTTCGCGTAGGGCTACAGACAACGATGACGAGCCCTCGACGTCGGAGTTGCTGCGTTCGCATCAGTCTGCTGGTTCCGGAGACACAATGGGGTGTTCTGGTGCCATTCGTAGGAGCGTGGGCACGCTACGATGGATCGGACCAGAGACGACGAGCCCACAGTCACGGCTACGCATGATATTGGCCTTGTGCCGCGTTCGCACACTGAGGCGCCTTAGCCATCAAGCCATGCCAGCATCAACGACAGCCGTCTGGATCGTACCCGCCCTTGCCAGGGTCACGAGACAACCAAGGCTGGCAGTAGCGGCTTGAACCAGAGCCAGAAGCCCAGTCTAGCCGAGTCTACCGTCAGCACACCAAGCAGCCAGGCGCCGCTTCCGCCAATGAGCAATCCCGCTGTACACACTCTCAGTCCAAGACCGATTATGTGTCTCCCCCTGTCTCATCGCGGTATAGTGAGTAACACTCGGTTGGGTGAATGGGGATGGCCCCGATGGGCAGTCGTCGACTGCTGCCTCCGCCGCAGTGACAAGCAACCTTGCGCCACAGCCTACTTCCGCTCAGACCCACTCTATACCCGTGCCTCCGGCCACACTATCAGCTCCGCTCGTACCCCCGCCTCCCTACGTCCCAGCGGTCCTTGACCCACCAGTCGTCTCGCACATTTGGGACCCTTGTCCGTGCGAGCAAGGTGATTACTTCTTCGTGATGGCTGTGCGCACACGTTCTCACGACGCTTGTAGCCCACAGCTACATCGCCTTCTGCCTCATCTACCAACATCCAGGGCGTTAATGCCACTTCTGCGCCTGCGTCTGCGTCCTCGTCTGCCTTTGCCTCGTCCTCTCTGCCTCCCTCCTCCAGTTCGCAACAGTTCGCCGGCGGCGATGAGCACCCCGCGACTGAGGAGGAGGAAGACGAACCGCCCTCTCCCTCGCCAGCTAGACAACGGCGCAAGGCGAAGCAGCCGATGCGACCCAAGCCCATTCCTGGCTTCATTGAGGCGCCCAACGGACCAGCTGCGAAGGTCGGCGACACACGCATTAGGCAGGAAACCAACACGCGCTCGGCGATGACGCCCTCCCAGGATACGCATGCGCGCATGGAGATCTTGTCGGCGGACATGGCCAGCTCCGTGGGCTCTCTAGAGCGAACGATGGAGGCTTTGCTGGACGCCACTTCAGACCAGCGCGCGCGACCTCTAGACGCGGGAGCTTCTACAGTGCATGCAGGACAGCATCAAACGGCTTCTCCGACTCGGTACACGACCTCGCGGATTCGTTCCGGGCGTTTGCGCGTCAGTCGCTCCTTCACTGGCGCGATGATCGCGTACCCGATGACGCTCCCCGCGCGCCTCTTCCTAAGCGCGCGCGCGGAAATGGCGAACCGTTGGAGCACATTAGGAATGTTGACACTGTCGCCCCTGCCTCGGCCATCAACATCGGTGGGACACCCC